AGCTAAGGCATATTTAAGTGTATTCTATGTAGGGCTTTATATAGATGTATACTTGGTATATTCTCCATTCGATGATTAAACGAACTATAAATGTTAGATCTCTTGGGGTTGTCAAAACGGTGTGAATGGGAAAAGTATAAAAATACATTTCTACATATATCAGTTTATAATCTGGAAATGTTTCCTTAGGTATGGGAGGACATGGCTATGGTGGAGCTGGTGATGCAAGTTCAGGTTTTCATGGTGGTCATTTTGTACATATGAGAGGATTGCCTTTTCGTGCAACTGAAAATGACATTGCTAATGTGAGTAATTTTAGTAACTAGTGGTTTTATACTAATCCCTGGTATCTAAATTTTAAAGCATTCTTAATGTTCTCATCCTTATAGTTTTGATATCAGAAACCTTTAATGTAGAAAAATACATGTGTGTATGTGTCTCTCTCTCTCCAGTAGTTTGAATATTTTTGGTCCATTGTGTGACCTACATAGGATTCAAACAAGTAAAGGTTACATTGATAAAGTCCCTGTTAAGAATTTAGTGAAAGCCCTGTCTGGGTGGCTCAGTTAGGTGGAGTGTCCTGAACACCAAAATCTTGTGGGTTGTGATACCTGATTGGGGAGTGTGTTGGAGGGAGCTGATCAATGTTTCTCCCTTTCTCAAATCAATTAAACATATCCTCAGATGAGGATTTTTAAATACATACCCCCCAAAATTAGTTAAAGCTGACTGACCAGCATGGAGTAGTGATGGTTGGGAGATTGTTTCCCTTGTGTGAAGTTTTGAAAGTATACATTTGTTAACAAGTGAAAAGTTTAAGTAGTTTGGTTTAGTTTTCTGGGCTGTATGATGAGCTGAAAATAATTGAAGTAGATGCTGCTATTGATTTAAAACTGGTTGGTTTCATATTGGCTAGAGAATCAGCAGATGTCAGCTGATGGGCCATCCAGTCACATCCATTCACTTACCGAGTAGTTTACTCCCAGTGGCCCACAAAGCCAAGAGAATTTAAAGAAAATTTTGCTTTTAGCTCTTACTGGGAACCAGTTGGCCTAAGTTCCCAGTGCCTTTTAAGATCGCATAAACCTATTTAACTTGTGTTTAGAACTAAATTACATATTTTGGGAACTATCGGTATATAGTTGGTAGGTTTATTGAACTCCCATCATTTTGAGTCATATACCCAATTTCAAATACTTTTCTTGGAAGTGGGGTGCTTATTCTTACCCCTCTCAGAAGTAGGGTATGAGACTTTTTCATCTGTTTAGGATAAACTATTCTCTGGGTTAGATACATTTTTCTTCTCAAATTTAATATCACCTACCTTATTTTAGAAGAGAATAATTTCTTTGTTTTCCTAAGTATGTATAGTCTTACATTCTTAGAACCTCTGAAGTTGATGTAATTATTGACCTTGCAATAGAGGGCAGTAGAAGGGTTTGTCTTCATGGAGAAGGAAAAACAAAGGCATGGGGTAATTTCAGTAATATAAATAGAAAAGTAACAAGTTCTTTTCTTTAGTTCTTCTCGCCACTAAATCCAATACGAGTGCATATTGATATTGGAGCTGATGGCAGAGCAACAGGAGAAGCAGATGTAGAGTTTGTGACACATGAAGATGCAGTAGCTGCCATGTCTAAAGATAAGAATAATATGCGTAAGTAGTAGCCTTGGCATGTTATCTTTGTTTCCTGGATGTGAACTTGTTTCTTCTATGGTCAGACTTTAATGGATTTCTAGGGGGCTGCCTCTTTTTTTTTTTTTTTTAAGATTTTATTTATTATACAGGGGAAGGGAGAGAAATTGCAGTGTGTGTGAGGGAGACATCAGTTGGGTTGCCTTTGGCCCAAAACTCAGGCATGTGCCCTGACCAGAACTCAAACCCATGACTACGGGTCTTTTTATTGAAGCATTAATTCCTACTCTTAATATTTGACAAATTAGAACTAAAGTTATTAAAGGGGGAAAATAGGTATGTAACATGCTCTTGCCTGAGTTCCCATGCCTTTTGCAAATTAGTACCACTTTTTAATCTATACATTGATCAACTTAGGTGAGTTATTTTTGCATGTCATCAAATCTGTTTTTAACCCACCAAATTTCACCTCAACCAGGGATTCCCAAATCTGGCTACACATCATCTGTCACTTGGTACTTCATAAAAAGTTCTCCTGGCCCTGGCTGGTGTGGCTCAGTGGATTGAGCACTGGCCTGCTAATAACCAAAAGGTCACCAGTTCAATTCCCAGGCGGGATACATTCCTAGGTTGCCGGCCAGGTCCCCAGTTGGGGGCGGTGTGAGAAGCAATCAGTTGATGATCTCTTACACATTGATGTTTCTCTCCCTCTCTCTTTTCCCCTCTAAAAGAAAAAAAAATTTTAAGTTTTCCTGGACACTGCTCTTAAGATTCTAATTTAGTTCTATGACTGGGCCTGGAATCTGTTTTTAAGAAGTATACCAGTTGGTTCTGAAACAAGGAATCAGTTCTCTTTATAGATAAGTTCTCTTTATTTTGGGGCTGAGGCCCCAAATACTTATTACTTGTGCAAGCCTATACAGTTTGAAAGAAACGTAATTTTTTTGAGCCCTGTTGACCATTTATTTTATTTTTTTCCCCTTCAAATTTGTAAGCATACATTTAGATTAATATTAGATATCCTTTTTATGCTTTCTCTTTTTTCCTAAAGAACATCGATACATTGAACTTTTCTTGAATTCCACTCCTGGAGGTGGCTCTGGAATGGGAGGTTCTGGAATGGGAGGCTACGGCAGAGATGGAATGGGTATGTAAAGGTTTTTTTTGTTTTTGTTTTAAGTAAATGGAGTTAGACACTTAACAGTCAACCTCAAAGTTTTTCTTTCTTTTTTTAAAGATAATCAGGGTGGTTATGGATCTGTTGGAAGAATGGGAATGGGGAACAATTACAGTGGAGGATATGGGACTCCTGATGGCCTGGGTGGTTATGGTAAGTGTTTTTGGTTACTCTGGTTCAGTTTGTTAGTCCTCATATGTGATACAGACTAACTTCTGTGTTGCTACCTTGTACTAAATTCTTAATGTCTTTTTTCCTAAGGTCGTGGTGGTGGAGGCAGTGGAGGTTACTATGGGCAAGGTGGCATGAGTGGAGGTGGATGGCGTGGAATGTATTAGAGCATAACCACCAACATAATAGTCCTGGCAAAAGCATCTGGTCTACTAGACTTTCTTACAGATTTCATTTCTTTTGTATTTTAAGAACTTTATAATGACTGAAGGAATGTGTTTTCAGAATATTATTTGGTAAAGCAACAGATTGTGATGGGAAAATCTGTTTTCTGTAGGTTTTATTTGTTGCATACTTTGACTTAAAAATAAATTTTTATATTCAAACCACTGATGTTGATACTTTTTATATACTAGTTACTCCTAAGGACGAGCTGCTTTCATAAGCTTTGGGTTGGTGTATTTTATTATTAGCTCTATAAGTAGTAGTAATATGGTGTAATTGTAGAGGAGAATGGTTCACCTCTACATAGTCTGCAAGTCTCAATAAGCAGACACCTAGAATAGAATTTGGAAAGTAGTATAACTTTTCATTTCTCCTGGACAATACTGTAAATATAAAACCTAAAGATGAGTTAAGATGGTTTCAGGAGTATAAAGTTCTGCTAATTCTATTAGTGTTTTTTCAAATGTCACTTATCAGGCATAGCTCTGAAATGTTGATCTAAATAAGAGGTATCTGGACTTCTGAATATTCATAATTGTGTTACCCAAGGATAGCAGTGTTGGACATTTAAATTCTAGCCCTAGACTTTAGAATAAAATCCCCTTGGCACTTGACTGAAGTACCAAAAAATGTTTCCAAAAACTGATTGTTGTAAGTTATCTCAAAAATGTCTTAGACTAGGTTAAGGTTCTAAAACTGAAATGAGAATTCAGTACAAAAGTACTACTGTGGAGTATAATTTTCACAGATGTATTTTTATTTTCAGCCCAATAGTTAAGACATTTATTTCTGGGTTTTTGTTTTTGTTTTTAATATCTGTATAAATATCTTTAAAGATATAAGACAAGTCCATGTTGTGGTCTTAAAATGATAGTCCTACGGTTGGATTTTTTCATTTGCTATCTGTTTGGAATTTTAGAGCCATTGTGTTAAAAAACAGAACAAAACTATATGTAGCAAGGAAAAGGTGCTTTTTACTTTTAATCCTTTTGATCAGTATGGCTTTTTTCCAAATTGGCTAATGGATCAAAATGAAACCTGTTAATGTGAATTCGGTTATTGAACATGTTACTTGTTTTTTGCTTAGAAATGTTAATGTAATAAATATCAATGTGGGAGATAATGGTATGGCGTCTGTCCTAGAATGCTTTGTGTCAATTTCTAAGTCAAGGTACTAAATATTTCTAACTGAAGATTAGACAAAATGACTCATAAATTTAGAGTGATTTCTGCTTTAGAGAAGGTATTAGGATCCTAAATGGAGGTTATCAGCTAAAGCAATGATAAATCTTAATGCCTATACCTACTTCTTTTAAGAACTACCCATTTAAATATTAGTTTCATGTTAACTTCATTTTAATCCTCAACCCAAGGACATATTTTCCTTGCTTTTTTTAGAGAGAGAAGCATTGATTGGTGTCTTACACATGCCCTGACCTGGAATTGAACCCATGACCTCTAGCTCTATATGATTTGATGCTCCAACCAGCTGAGCCACACCAACCAGGGCCCACTTAACATTTTTTAGAGATTACATGTGCTTTGTTTTCCCTGGTACTCCAGGGACTCTTAAAATCTTTAGGAGTACTTAAAGAAAAGTAATTAAATCTTTTAAGAGTAAAAATATAAAATGTTATCAGTGAAAGTTGCCCTTCTAAAGCAGGCTACTTTTTTCAAATCTTTTATTTGGTTTATAAAATTCACATTTTATTTTAAAACATTACAGGATAGGAGAATTACAATCATGATTCCTTGGCACCATGACAGCTTATTGTGGTAGTACTAGCTAGGTGAGGGAATGCTATGTGAGGTTTATTTAAGATCGTTTCACAACCACAAAATACAAATTCAAAGTTTGTAACATAAATTCAAAATTAGTTACAAATGGTTTTTATAAAAGAGCCAAACTAAACGGAGCAGGTTGTACTGCTGTCAATAAACACTTGCCTACAAAAATCCCAAATCAACTGGCAATACACGAATTTTAAATGGCAAAGAATTTAAGGGAGTGGAGGCTAAAAATCATGGTCAAATAGCTTTGGAATTTAAGCAGAAATCACATTTTAAAATTTGTTCTAAGCACAGTAGTAATTAAAAAACATCTGGTATTTGAAAATTTTCCTTTTTTCCTTCATCTCATTTTCAGCAATCATAAAAATGTTCATCCCATCAATACAAAACAGTTTTCAAGAATATAATTTCTCTCTTGACATTTCTATCAGAGCATTCAAGAAAGACCACCTAAAAATCTCAGTTCTAACTGAAGACCTCAAACTGGATTATGAAGAGAAAAATCTTCAAGTAAAATACTAATTTCTGGCAATTTAGAAAAATAATTCTTAAGCTTAAGGAAAGTATGTACTCTTGAGGAAAGGATCCTGCAGGATAACCCCCATCCTGGGGGGAGAGGGGTAGCCATGATTAGGTTCACTAAATATAATGTTTTTAGGAATAATACAAAGTTATCCTAATAGACATTGTTTGAAAGGTACACAGGCATAAAGTGCATGGCTGGTATTAAACTAGGTTTTTTTAAAATGTAGTTGTGATGTCATTCAAGTGACTATACAAAGGTAACTTTACAGATTAAATTCTTGGTATGCTATAAGTAATGTAACAAGGTTAGTGTTTATTCAGTCTCATGCTTGAAATGTTTCAAGTACGTACTTTTCATGGCAGGGCTGCCCATATTTCACCAACTGAACCTAGCTTAGAGGTGCTTAGTTTATGGTGAATTTTTTACTCTATCTACTGCAGTAGCAGGCCACTGCAATGTAATGCTTAAAATTTTCTAGATCTGCAAGTAGCAACTTTAAAAGGATGATGGTTTAACCTCCTTTCAAAAGGAAAAGTTTGAGGCAAAATAACCTCTTTAACCCACTGTATCTGAAAGGTATCAGCAACATTGATTTTAGAGAGGAAGGAAGCCAAAAGAAATTTTATAGGATAAAATATTGGCCTTTTCTAATGCAAAATGGACAAAAGAAGGGAGGGGGAAAGGGCCAAATAAATAGGTATCTTACTGAGCTAATGGAAAATCTGTTGAATTGGAATATTAACACTTGTAAAAAGTTCTACACATTTCCAGTCTTTCTCTGAGATCCATGAAGCATTAAAGTGCATTAATAAAACTTAGAGGCACCATCGAATATAAACTCGACCATCTGGAGCCCTATTTTTAAGAAGGCCTTTATAAAGTAAGGCAGATATGTGTTAGCTATGCTATCCGGCCTTTCAGTGTCTTTGAGAGTTACATTATAATTACATGAATTTGGAATTAGGTTAAAGCTCTTTTAAAACATGCCCTGTTGAAAATTCTTTTTGAATAATAGTGGAAAGGAAATACTAAATTATACAACAATTCCCATGAACTGAAATGTGAAACAGAACTGGTACCAGTACTGTCTGAAAGTTGCTTCAAAGGGCTATCTGAATATGTGCACATACTCATACATAACATTCACCACAGGTACTTGCATACAAGGAAGATTTAGTTCTGGAGTCTTATGGCAAATTAGATGAGCATCTCTGAATTAGCAGTGCATGACAGGAATCACAAACCCGTACTGGCTTTGGTGAAGAAGGCAAAGGCAGTTCGTTGTCAGAGCAAGCATTACAGAAAATTTCTCCACAGTTTCTACAGTGGTGCTATTCGTTGGAGGAAAAAAATCAGAAAAAACTATGAGTAACATTAAAAGCCATATTTGCCCCAAAACTTTTGGACTCTACTTCCTTTACCTTTCTCTTAGAGAGTGAGAATTCCTTTTCACAAAGTTTACAATGTGTCGCTTCTTTGTCTTTCAACCATACCAGTCCCTAGTAGGAAGAAAAGTAACTATTAATGCTCAAATTAATTACATTAAAAAACTTTTTCCCATCAAAAACTTTACAGGGATGTATACAGATGAAGAGTCAAAAATGAGTCCCTTAGCCCTAGCTGGTGTGGCTGAGCAGATTGAGTGCCAGCCAAAACGTTGCCAGTTCAATTCCCAGTCAGGGCACATGCCTGGGTTGTGGGCCAGGTCCCCATTAGGGGGTGTGTGAGGCAACCACACATTGATGTTTCTCTCCCTCTCTAAAAAATAAAATTTAAAAGAAAAAGAGTCCTTTTTTCTGTGAGGGAATACTGAAATAGTTGTAGATTAATGTGTAAACTTTGCTTCAAAATAATCGGTGAGAGAGAAGCGATATGGGTTGAACATAAAACAAGATTGGCCATATACTGGTAAATACTGAAACTAGGTAATGGTTGGTTTTACTCTACTATTACATATGTTTGAATGTTTTCATGATAAAATTTTTTAAAAATAAAAATCTATTACTGATGGTAGTTTTTGTTAAGGAAAGAACCCTAAAGATTATCTAGTCCAACACATAAGGATAAATTTTCACTGTAGAATGCATTTGAGTTGGGCATTAAATATACTGTATACACAGTAATTCCATAAAACTTGAAGAATTTGGAAATCAGATGTTTGATTAAGACCACATTAAATTTAGTTTTATGTGGCCATTAATTTCTCTCAAGTTCTATAATTCACATATTTAGTAGTGCATAAACTTTAGTAGCGGTCTTAAACAAGCGGGAGTTAACTTTGTATCTAAAATTTCTAATTTGACCCATCCTTAACCAACTAAGATCTTGGGTAGAAAGAGCACCTTTTTCCCCCCAATAAAGCAACTTTGTCTATATGGTGCCAGTTTTATAATGAAAAGACCCAGGTAGAAGGACGAGTCCTCAATGCTTCAGATTAATCTTATCACATGTTCCTTTTAAAAACAGCCTGGCCCTGGCTGTTACGGCTCAGTGGACTGAGTGCCTTCCTGCTAACTAGCTGAAGGGTTTCCAGTTCAGTTCAATTCCGAATCAGGGCACATGCCTGGGGTGCAGGCCAGGTCCCCAAATGGGGGTGAACGAGAGGCAAATGTTTCATGTATCTCTCACATGTGGATGTTTCCCTCTTCTTACCTTCCCCTCTTTCTAAAAGTGATAAAGAAAATCTAAAAAACAGTCATTTAAACACAGCCCAGCCTAAGCCACACTGCTGCTGCTTCCAAAGAACAAGTGAATCCAGCTCAGGAGGTAGAAGATGTGCCACCTATAAAATACCTCTGAAGCAGAGGGGCCTTTATCACCTAACTAGAGAAAAATTCTCCAAGTAAAATTCTTAAAAGACTTCAGACAATTGAATGAAGAAAGAGGAAAATTAAAAAGGACTGAGCATTTGCAGATAAAAATCACAAGGTTAATTCCAGGTACTTCTTTTACTGTCTTAATAACTAACACCTATTGTAGCAGAAGTAAGACAACTTGTGTTGGGTTAATGCACTTCAGGCAGTCTAAGGCTCCTTAAAACAGGACTGTAAGTAGCGAAGGGTTAAAAACTAGACAGCTCAGACAAACAACACCAGCAAAGAATCCAATGACTTGAATTGCAAAAATTTTTATTCAAAGCAAGATACAAGACCTTAAAAAGATAATCGAATATAACTTTAACACCATAAAAAGAGAAGTGACTTGCCAAATGCCCCAAAGCCACCCAGTGGAAGCAGCACGGAAATCTGATGTGAAGCAGATTTCCAAGCAGCATCATTGGTTTCAGAGGTAACCTTTCTGACTTCAGGCCTGGGCCTTCCACACTTACTTCAATTTGAATGAATTTACCCTGCTCGTTTGCCAAGGAGAAAAGCTGTAGGGTAAGCCTAGTGTGTCAGCTGAAAGGGACCTCAGAGATCGTTACCCATAGCTCTTATTTACCAGATAAGCTACAGGAGTGTCAAACTCACTTTCACCGGGGGCCACATGGGCCTCGAGATTGCCTTCAAAGGGCCGAATGTAATTTTAGAACTGTACAAATGTAACTTCTCCTGAACAGTTACTTGAGAGCTCAGTGCTGCCATCAGGTAGAAACAAACTGCCAGACCAAATAAAACAAGGTGAAGGGCAGGATTTGGCCCTCGGGCCTTGAGTTTGTAACCTGTGAGATAGATGAAGTCCAGAGAACTGTAGCTGTTTTCTCAAGGAAGCACAGCTGTTTCAAGACTAGAGGAGAGCAAACTATTGCTCTGAAAACAAAGGGCTATTTTTTTCTACCCAATTCCAGAATGTAGATTACCCAACTAAAACTCGGAACCCCACCACCACCACCAGACAGGATATTAGAGGATCCTTTTCTGGAGAACCTCAACTGCCCTAGAGAAAAGTCCTGTTGATACTACCATTTATTTGGAAAGGGTACCAACTAGCAACTAGAAATCTGTTAACTAGCAACAGATTTCTCTATGCTGAAGCCTCTCCGTCTATAACAACCTGCCCCCGTCCACCCAACCATCACGTACAGGGCATCCAAGATTTTTTGTGTTACTGAAATTGGGGGATTATCCAGCATTTGCGGAATGACCTCGGCAAGAGCTACCTCAAAGAAATAAATTCAGAAGAAATAAAGAGTGGCAGTAGCAAAAGAAAACTTCATAAAGAAACAATAAATATCCTGAGAGATAAAGTTGGATGCTATTTTTAAAAGGAAAAGTGAGCAAATAGGGGCCTGCTGGATATTAAAAATATGGTAGCAGAAATGAAAAGTCTCAATTCAGGCTGCATAAGCCTTTAGATTTAACTTCCAGTTTACACGCAATAAGGGCCCAGAAGAACAAGTTTAAGACTGCTACGAATAAGTTATCATAAAACCCATCATGGGGTAAACTGTAGGACAGCTGTCCCAGACCCAACAGCTGGTCAAAAAAGAGCACGTCACATGTAAATCTATTTTTATAGATGTGAAAATATGAAAATCTAGGTAATATCTTGTTAAAGATAGACATGAATGATTAAAGAAAAACATTATTAATAGAAAATACAAGATTATTACTATAGGGAGAAGATTGCAAATGGAGCACATATGTTCTATTTTACAAACTAAAGTGGAGAATATGCCAATATTTTTTTGGGATTTTACTTATTTATTTTTAGAGAGGGGAAGGGAAGGAGAGAGGGAGAGAAACATCAGTGTGTGGTTGCCTCTCACACGCCCCCTACTGGGGACCTGGCCTGCAACCCAGGCGTGTGCACTGACTGGGAATCAAACCAGTGACCCTTTGCTTTGCAGGTCGTCACTCAGTCCACACCAGCAGGCAAGTACTTTAAAGCTGTACTATATGGTATCTTTAACAGTGAAAAAAAATTCAGTTTAAATAGTGATAGGCAAATATCACTATGGATCTCTTTAAAAGTGAGGGCAGCCCCGGCTGGTGTGGCTCTACCATGTGAGTACAGTAAAGGGAATTCTAAGAATGTCAGCGAAGGGAAATGTCAGGACAGGGGTGAACAGACAAGACAGGAGCAGAGGAAAGCAGAGAACTCCAAGGAGGAGGATTCAAAGAAAAAAACAACTAACCGGTTAGCAGATTCATTTACAACATGCAAAACTCTTGTCAAGAAGCATTTTATAGAGATATTAAGAAAACACTGATGTTCAAATACAACTAAATTAAAAAAAAATAAGAAGCAGTTAACTCCAGAGGAAATAAAAGTAGTTAGAAAATATAATTACAATATACTACTTGGCCCAGCAAAAAACAATACTTAAGCAGTCATAATAAAGAATATACATTAAGTGAATTCTACAAAAACTTTTGAAAGCAAGCAAAACTCCTCATCCAGCACATTAACCAGGCAATAGATAGGTCTAAAGTAGTCTTAAATAAATGAAGAGCAAACAATACGTACTGCATATTATTTACAAATAAGGGGATAAATGTCCAAAGAAAAAAAAGAAAGTAGCTCCCCTCAGGTGGTGGGAACTAGGGTGAACAAGGGACAAGAAGATGAACAACAGACTACTTCCATTATTTGTTTCTAGCACTATTTTAAATTATTCTCCTGTAACACTTTTATAAAAAACAAAATGGGGCCCTGGCTGGTGTGGCTCAGTGGATCGAGGGCCCGCCTGCAAACTGAAAGGTCACTGGTTCAATTCCCCAGTCAGGGTACATGCCTGGGTTGAGGGCCAGGTCCCCAGGTGGGGGCCCACAAGAGGCAACCACACATTGATGTTTCCCTCCCTCTTTCTCCTTCCCTTCTCCTCTCTCTAAAAATAAATCTTTTTTTTTTTTTAATGGGTAGCTTGTGCAAGAAGAAGCCATCTGTAACTGAAGTACTCACAGACTATTTTCTCCTATGTTATAGAAGGGATCCTTGCATCAACACATTCAGAACGGTATACTGATACATTGTACCAATTACTTTCACATATTTTAACCTACCCAATATTCAAAGCAACCCTATGCAAAATCATAAGCACATTTCAGAAGAGGAAACACTTAATGAAAATATGTGACTTACTGAAGGTCAAAAACTAATAAGTAATAGACTAGCACAGGAACTCAAGAATTCTCCAATTCAAAGGCAGTTTCATTCATCATGCCACAGTTTATAGGAAAGTGGACAAAGTGAAGTGGGCCCACAACACCCAGGCTCCCCATTCAGTGGCTTTGCCTCTAATAAATCCTGGGATTCAATAATAACACTTTAGTTGTATACAGGGCTTTACCTCCTATTGAGGACTTTCACATATCTCTATACTTTCCTACTTGAGGAAAATACTTTCTACTCACCTGCAATGCTTTGTTGGCTTCTTTTATATCTTCTATTTTAAGTTTTGACCTAAAAGAAAGTACAAATAGGCCCAAATTTCAGTACATGTATATAAATATAGAACATCTAGTGATTCATTAGGAAGATACTGCTTTTATACAGTATGTAAAATATTAAAATTGCTTTTTAAAGAATACTGGTATTTTCATGTGGTCATGACAATATTAATAATAGCTATTATTTACTGGCTTATGTATGGCAGACATTATGCTATAACCTTTGCATGCATGATCTCATTTAATCTTCAAAAAACCTATTTTAAAGATGAAGATGGTGCAGTCTTATGAGGTTCAGTCACTTGTAACAGGTCACAGAGGTGGCAGCTGGGGAAGCCAGGATTCAAATCCTGGTCTAGTGTGACCCCAAAGGCGACATTCTACCATCATGCACATTATTTGTCTAGCAGATACAAAAAGAGTGGAAAAATTGAGGAATATATAGTAGCAACACTTTTTATTTATTAAACTTCCTGGGATGACATTGTATCATATAGGTTTCAAGTGTACATTTCTATGATACACAATCTGTACGTTCCACTGTGTGCCCCCCACCCTAAGTCAAACCATCTTCCATCACCATGTATTTGGCTCTTTTTACCCTTTACTACCCCTACCCCATTCTCTCTGGTGACCATCAAACTATTGTCTGTGTCTATAAGTTTCAGTTTTATGCAATACTTTTTCTTCTAAAAATAAGTGTTAACAAACATGTAGATTATAAATAGCAATATTTAATTACCTGTGATCCCACTTCTCAGAGAGACAATCTCTATATGTTGATGAGTGTGCATGTATTTTAAATGGAATCATTATTGAGTTTTCCATAACAAACTCTTTTCACTTAACAGTATAACCTGAAAGGCTCAGAGCTACTGACTTCTTATCATCTTCTACATCATTATATTAAATGATTACAAGTATACCATAAAAAAGAATATAAAGTAATTTATATAATTATCTACTGCTGAACTTTCAGTTTGTTTCATTTTTGCCACAAGGAGGATTAGTATTTCAGCAGATAAACTGGTACAGTCTGGAACCTAACTGGTGTGGCTCAGGGTGTTGGGCATCATTCCAGAAAGCAAAAGGTTGCAGGTTCAATTCCTGGTCAGGGCATGTGCCTGGGTTTCAGGTTTGGCCCCAGTGGTTGCAGTCAGGATGCTTACAAGAGGCAACCGATCGATGTTTGTCTCTCACATTGATGTTTCTCTCTCTTTCTCCCTCCCTTCCTCTCTCTCTAAAAACAAATAAGATCTGCAAGAAAAAAACAACTGTGTACCATCTGGGAAAACTCATAGGGCCACTGGTCCTTCCTCCAGCCATCATAAAATTATTGTCACTGCAGAAAAGAACTCAAGTTGACAAAAGTAAAATATGTTCTGACTCCCAATGAGCCCTACTGATGTCTTAGGGACTACAGGTCTCAGAAGCAGAGATAAAAAACTAATAAAGCTGCACCATAAAAATCAAACATCAGCCCTGGACAGGTAGCTCACTTGGTTCGAGTATCCTCCTGTTACACCAGTTTTGCGGGTCCCAGGTAAGGGCACACACAAGAATCAACCAATGAGCCCTGACCAGTGTGGCTTTGTGTGGATGTCATCCCACAAAGTGAGGGGTGGTTGATTCGATTCCCAGTCAGGGCACATACCTGGGTTGCAGGCCAGGTCCCCAGGTGGGGAGTGAGAGAGGCAGCCTAACAATGTTTCTCTCTCACATAGATGTTTCTCTTCCTCTCTCCTTTCCCTCTCCCTAAAACTAAATAAATAAAACTTTTTTCTAAAGAATCCAGTAATGGGTCTCAAGTAATAAGTGGAACAACAAATTGATCTTTCTCTCACCCCTTCCTCTCTCTCTCTCTCTCTCTCTCTCTCTCAAATCAATAAATTTTAAAAATGTTTAAAAAAGAATTTGCCCTGGCTTGTGTGGCTCAGTGGATTGAGCGCTGGCCTGGGAACCAAAGGCTCACTGGTTCCATTCTCAGTCTAGAGCACATGCCTGGGTTGCCCGCCAGGTTCCCAGTTGCGTGGGAGAGGCAACCACACACTGATGTGTCTCTCCCTCTCGATCCCTCCCTTCCACTCTCTAAAAATAAATAAATCTTTAAAAACAAAAAAGAATTCAAACATTAGCAAGGAAAGATAGATAGACAGACAGACAGACAGACAGATAGATAGATAGATAGATAATAAATGAAGTAAAAAGACAAATGACAAACTAGAGTAAAAAGATGTACACTGTACAACAACTAATTTACAAAGGTCCCATAAGAAAAAGATGAGCAATTCAACCAAAAAAATCTACAAGTGGTTTTCAGGAAATAAACTGCAAGTACAAATAGAACACAAACAGAGCCCTGGCTGGTGTGGCTCAGTGGATTGAGCGCGGGCTGTGAACCGAAGGGTTGCTGGTTTAATTCCTGGTCAGGGCACATGCCTGGGTTGCGGGCCAGGTTCCCAGTGGGGGCCTCGTGAGAGGCAACCACACACTGATGTTTCTCTACCTCTCTTTCTCCTTCCCTTCCCCTCTCTCTAAAAATAAATAAATAAAATCTTTTTAAAAAGCTATTAAAAAAAAAAGAACACAAACAGAGATGTCAACCCTGCTCATAGTTAAAGAAATACAAATCAAACAGTATTTTCAATTATCAGAATGGCAAAAACAGACACTCCTACTTCTGGAGGGGATCTAACATTGGAGGTGGAGGGTAAATTGGCACTATCAAAAATTTTTAAAGCACATTCTGTGTGGCCCAGCAATCACCTCTTGGAACTTATTTTTTAGATATACTCATTAAAGTATATCTAGAGATATCAAAATACATTTACAGGAATGTTCACAGCAGTACTAATTATTTTAAATACTATAAAGTTTAAGAAAATTTTAGAAACAGTTTAATGATAGCATGTTCATCCTAAGGAAAATCTTTGTGTACTCATGAAAAAACCTCTAACACATATTCTAAAGTATAAAACCCTACAAACCAGAAAAACACGCATACAGGAATTAGGTATGTAGTCGGTTTACAAGGCAAAAATTTAGTAGTCACAATAGCCCTTGAGAATTCCTTAAGTAGTCCATAAGGTTTGGTACAGATTGTTAGGTATACCTGATCTTGAGCAGTTATTCTCATGCAAAGTAAAATTTGAGAAACAATGAACCAGGCTAAAGATAAAAAAACCATAAGTCTGAATTCAGCTACCTGGACAGCCAAAAAGATCATGCTTTTAATACAACTATAAAATCTCTAGTATTGAATGAGAAATGAGCAAAAAGTAATTCCTCCTTTTACTATTCTAATCTGTTTTAATATTAAACCTTTATGATCTTAATAAATGTAAACATATTTTTTGTTCTGGGGATTACTCACTACTGAGCCCCTAGGAGCAGTTAGAATAGTGTCTGGCCCAAAGCAGAAGTTCAACAAGTAGACTGAACAAATGGGAAATGAGGTAATAAGCACTTAGCGTAGGGTCTGGCTCAAAGGGGTCAGTAAATGGATGCCAAAATAAAACTGAAATCTTGTTTATCAGAATCACAATGCAATTGTTCTTTGAATTTGTAATCATAAACACTGTTATCTTTTGAAGATTGATGTTTCCTTTTGCCATTTTAGTAAACTGCTCTTTCCTTTGCTCTTGGACACTGGTCTCAAGACTCCTTCATAGAATCAATCCCATCTTTAGCAAAACACAGACTATGGAACAAGGAGGAATATGAGGGGCAGAGCACCATTTCTTTCTTGTCTTTATAGGGACCCAACACTTCACTGCAACAGAACCAAACGCAGACACTCCATGAAGCTAAGCCCCTACTCCAGACGGGATGAAACACCCTTCACTTCTCACAATGTTGGGTCCTTCTCAAACACTCTGAAAAAGCTAACTTCTGTTGCTCTGAGAAAAATATATTAACTCCTGGATACTATTATTTAAAGAAATCAAGACACTTAGCTTTCATCTCTTAAGAAAACCTTCAGAACTAAGAGCTGATACAATGAAAATTTTTAATAAAATCTCTCCAACCTATAGTCTTATTTGTTAGTCTTTAAAATTTTTTATTGTATTTTTTCCATTACCATCTATCCACCTTATACTCCCTCCCTCCTGCAATCACCACACTGTTGTCCATGTCCATGAGTCCTTTTTCCTTTTTGCTCAATCTCCCCACCCATTAACCATCACCAACCCCACCCCGCCCACATCTGTCATCCTGCTCTCTATGAGTCTGCTTTTGTTTTTAATAGTTCATATCTTTCTTTTCTATATTTAAACTTTTCTGCTTGTTTGGTTTGGCACACTCAAACTTTTATAAAAGTCAATGACTACTTAGCTGAAGGAAAAAAGAGAAATTACTCGCTAAGTTTGTTGCCAAGTTCTTGAAGAGCCTGCTCCTGTTCATGATACAATTTTTTCAATTGCTGATTTTCATCTTGGAGGTCAAGGAACTCCTTCAAAACAATAAAAAGCAAACAATGTAATTCCAGAGAAAGAAATGAGAAACTCCACATTGTATACACATACCATTAATTAGAAACACAAATTTTAGTTTTTTACAAAAACCAGATTTTTATGTCCAAAGCTCTTTCTTTCATAGCTGCTCTATCAATTATCAACTACTTTCCACTCATTATTTACTCTCTTCACTGATATTTTTAAAGATGACTAGTATGTTATTTCCTTATTATAAAGGCAAATTATAATTTGATTCTTTTTAAATAACTTTTATAAAAATGTGATTTTAATTTTAAAAGTTTTACCACCATTTACTTTTTTAAGACTAATGATTTGTTGGGTCTCATTTCTAAGATGAGATAAAGCATCTTTCTCCTTCTGAAGATCTTCCTGCAAAGTCTGCCTCCACTCTTTCTCAATCTTCAAATCGGTTTCCAGTTGCACCCTTGAATGACAAACAATAAACAGAAGCTCAGTACTATGGTTTACATGAGAGTTTTACATATTCTTTAAAAAGAGCATCTTTTTGGTTGATAACTTTTGCCTTTATAATTCATTTCTAGATATTTTCTTGCATAAATATTTTTTTGGTAAATTCAGCAGCACAGGCTTTTCTGATCCCAAAGTACCAGCACTACAGTTAGCTCAGAATTATCAGCTCAGAATTCTAAGGATATCCTGAAAATATCCTTCAAAAATGAAAGTGAAATCAAGGTATTTTCAGATGAACAAGAGAAACCAAAAAACAAGAGAATTTGTTATCAACACACCTACCCTCAAAGAAAGGCTAAACGTTTTTCAGAGACAAATAAGGAAACTTGGAACATCAGAAATGAAGAAAGAACAATAAAAAGAAAAGTTTTCTAAATTATGTTTTAAGGTTGAGGCACAAACTATAACATTGTCTGATATGCTTACATAGAGAAAATATTTAAGCAAATTGTATTAGAAAGGGGAAAGGGCATAAAATGGAAGTAAGGCTTCCATGCTTTACTAAAGGCAATAAAATGTTGATACCAGCAGACTGTGAAAAGTTGCAAATATACAACATAATGTGTACGGCAACCACTAAAACATTATATAGAGAAATACACTCAAAAACACTACAGATAATCAAAAAGGAATTCTAAATAATGTTCAAGTAACCCAGGGGAAGGCAGGAAAATGAAATGGAAATAAAAAACAAAAATAAAATAATAAAATAGCAGACTTAAATTCTAATATATCAACAATTACATTAAATATAATGGACTATCTACATCTTTAAAAGAGAGACTGGCAGAATGGATAAAAACTAAACTATAAGAAACTTCAACTACAATGATAAAGATTAGGCTAAAAGTAAAAAGATAGTAAATTGCAAACATTAATCTTTTGTTTACTACATGAAAACATTAATAAAAAGAAAGTGGAAGTGGCTATTTAATTCTGATAAAGTAGATGTTAGAGCAAAGAAAATTACCAGAGACAAAGAGGCAAATTATATAATGATAAAAAGTTCAATTCAGTAGGAAGATACAGTTACCCTAATTGTGTAGATATTAAACAACAGAACTTGGAATGTAAGAAACAAAAAATTATATAACTGGAAGTAGAAATACCTAAGTCCACAATTATAGTTGAGAAATTACAAGAAGTCCTCTCTCACTAATTGATGAAGCTACTAGACAGAAAATCAGTAAGGACAGAAAAGAACTTAACAACACCTCAACCAATAGATTTGAAGGCAGCTTAGCAAATTATACATTGTATATGGCATGTGGTCTTGTTTAATGATCTGTTAAACATAATATATAACTATTTTCTATTGTTTTCTTTTAATAACACAAAAGTAATATGTATTTACTGGGGAAAAATACTGATCCTTATAAAGTAAAAATTAAAATACCCTTGTCAGCCCCAGCTGGGGCACATGAAATAAAAAAATAAAATAAAATGCCCCTGTCAGTTTGCCATCACTCCCCTGAGATAATCATTCCTTAGAACCTGTATTCTTTAAACTCTTTTCTATGGACAGTTTTAATTTAATTTAATTTAATTTTTAAAAGATTTTATTCATACATTTTAGAAGGGAAGGAAAGGAGAAAGAGAGGGAGAGAAACATCCATAGGAGGAGATACATAGATAGGTTACCTCGCACGTGCCCCCAGCCGGGGAACCTGGCCTGCAACCCAGTCATGTGCCCCAACTGGGAATCAAACCAGTGACCTCTTGGTTCATAGGCCTGCACTCATGCCACTGAGCCACACCAGCCAGGGCAGGACCATTTTAATTTTATAAAAAATAGGATCATACTTAGCACATACTTTCTGCAACTTGGCTTTTTTCCAACTCAATGACATATACTGATATTCTTCCTAATTGGCAATATACAGATCTAACATGTGAAATACTCATAAAAATGTTCCCGGAAAATATCATGTTCTTCGATAACAGATGTTCCTTACAGTTACATAATGGCTATCAGATTAATGTTAACAGAGAAAGAATAAAACTGCCCTTGAGCAAAAAAATAGCAAGACAGTTGGAAATGCTCTATAAACAATAAAGGTGGGACTTCCGCCAAGATGGAGGTATAGGTGGAAGCACTGTGCCTTCTCACACAACCAAGTTTAAAAACAACAAAGTTTTACCAAAAAAAATGCAGCCAAACTACAGAAAATTGAACTATACAGAAGTCTGACAACAACAAACCCTTCAGTCAAACCGGTAAGAGGGGCAGAGCCAACAGCAGAGCGGGGTCGGGCAGGAAAGACCCACCAGACCAACCCGGGTGCTCGACCCAGGTGCGCCGGCAGCCATGGGCGGATCCCAGGTGTGGAGTAGCGGGCGGACCCACCGAGGGCGCAAGGCAGTGGACTCACTGAGAGCTGACCATGGTCACACATTCGCGTGCAGATAAACCAGTGAAGGAGCGAGCAGTGAGACAGACCGTGCAGGCCCAGTGGCAGGAAGCAGCAGAGGGGACCGCCATTGTCCCTCTCTGACCCCACCCCCACATACAGCATCACAAACCAGCAACCTGGGTGGCCCCACCCTGGTGAACACCTAAGGCTCCGCTCCTTATACCTAACAAGCATGAACAGAGCAAAACATGGCTCAAGAACAACTCAGAGCCCCAGAGCCAATAAATCTAAGTGATGAAGAAATAGCCAAACTTTCAGATGCACAGTTCAAAACACTGGTGATCAGGATGCTCACAGAACTGGTTGGTTTTAGTCACAAATTAGAGGAACAAATGAAACCTAAATTAATGAAATGAAGGGAAATGCACAGGAAACCAATAGTGATGGAAAAGAAACTGGAACTCAAATCAAGGAAGTGGACCAGAAGGAAGAAAAAATTGACCAAACAGAAAACAATGAAGAAACGAGAATTTTAAAAAATGAGGAGAGACTTAGGGACCTTCAGGACATCTTTAAAAATTCCAAACATCTGAATTATAGGGGTACCAGAAGGGGAAGAGGAAGAGCGACAAGTGGAAAACTTACTGGAACAAATAATAAAGGAGAACTTCCCCAATCTGGCAAAGGAAATAGACTTCCAGGAAGTCCAGGAAGCTCAGAGTCCTAAAGAAGTTGGACCCAAGAAGGAACACACCAAGGCACATCATCATTACATTAGCCAAGATGAAAATGAAGGATAGAATCCTAAAAGCAGCAAGAGATAAGGGGACAGTCACCTACAAAGGAGTTCCCATCAGACTGTCAGCTGATTTCTCAAAAGAGACCTTCCAGGCAAGAAGGGGCTGGAAAGAAGTATTCCAAGCCATGAAATCCAGAGACCTACATCCAAGATTGCTCTATCCAGCAAAGCTTTTATTTAGAATGGAAGGGCAGATAAAGTGCTTCTCAGATGAGGACAAGTTCAAGGAGTTCATCATCACCAAGCCCTTATTATATGAAATGTTAAAGGGACTTATCTAAGAAAAAGAAGATTAAAATATGAACAGTGAAAGGACAGCAAACTCAGTTATTAACAAACACACCTAAAACAAAAGCAAACTAAGAGGACAGCTAGATCAGGAGCAAAAACATAGAAATAAAGATCACATGGAGGGTTAGCAACAAGGGAGTGGGAGGAGGAGAAGGAGGGAGAAGGTACAGAGAGTAAGTAGCATAGACGGTAGATAGAAAATAGATAGGGAGAAAAGCAAGAATAGTATGGGAAATATAGAATCTAAAGAACTTGAGACATGTGGACATAAACTAAAGGGGGGGAATAGTGAGGGAGGGGGTGTGCAGGGTGGAGGGGAATGAAGAGGGAAATAGGACAACTATAATGGCATAATCAATAAAATATATTTTTTAGAAATTTGTATATTTATTCTTACATGTTTAAACTTCATTCACCTTCCAAGTACTCTCCATTTCATAAAATACATCTACTGAGACTTTTTCCCATTGTGCAAAACAGTTTTTGAACTCCTCGATTTTGATGCTATTTAGTGCTTCTCCCATTTTTTGGTTTACCTCTTCCACATGGGCAAAACATTTCCCTTTGAGGACTTTTGTCATCCAGGGAACAAAAAATGTTGCTCAGGGAAAGATCCGGCAAATAGGGACGAGGCATGGAGATCATGCTGTTTTTGGTAAAAACTGCTGAACACTCTGTGGTGTGGGCAGGTGTGCTCATAAATTACCATCATGAAATGGCAAACACCTTGAAAGAGTCTTCAGAAAAATTCACTGAAGCCAAATGCAGCCTCTCACAACACTGATACAGATGAGTTCCCGGAACACTCACCTAGCTGGAGAAGCCTGTACTACACGGGGCCCACCCTCCGAAGATAATTCAGGTTTTTGGGGGTTACCCACCTCGTATATTTTCTAATATTTTTTAAGAACTCCAACCCTGGCTGGAGTAGCTCAGTGGATTGAGGGCGGGCTTGCAAACCACATGATCGCGGTTCAATTCCCAGTCAAGGCACAGGCCTAGGTTGCAGGCCAGTTCCCAGCAGGGGACTCACGAGAGGCAACCATACGTTGATATTTCTCTCCTTCTCTCTTTCCCTTCCTCTCTAAAGATAAGTAAATAAAATCTTTAAAACAAAACCTCTATAATCTACCTGACATCATTAAATAAATGAAAATATAGGTATTCTACCATAGGCACAAAAGAAAGGGGGGTAGGTAGACATTATGCTAATACAAGTATTTTTTTCCAAGAGTGAGATACTCACAGCTGTTTCTCCTTTTGAGAGATTTGTTTCTGCAGACTGTCGGATTTACTCTGACATTCTTGTAGATATTTCTTGTCCTCATCTTCAGCTTCCATTTGCGCCTTCTCTGCTTGCTGCAATCTGGTGTAATTCAAATCAACTTTGGGTAAAACTGAGGCTAGAACTAGGGTGTAAAAGGGTGAAGAAGACAAATAAAAGAAAAATGGGGAAATAGAAACATTTCTAAATGAAAACAAAGTTTGGGGGAAAACTCACAAACTCAAACGTGAAAGAGCCACACAATGTCTAGAAATTGTTTTGTGATTTTTTTCAATATAACATATAATATGCCCAAAATACTATCTTCAAATTTGTTTTATTTCTTGTTCATAATTAATAATGCAAAGCAATACAGCCTTTACCACTTTTATAGAGCATAATGAATCAAATTTCAAAGTATAATAGGTGTGTTACTACCTTTTTACAAAACCATGAAAAGCATAGTATGTTTATGTCTATACTAGGTGGAGAAGCCCCATTGTTATGTTAGGATGTGTATGCCAGGAATCAAGTGCACTGACAAGGCCAAGAGCAAAGACCTGCAACTACTTTAAAATAACAGCCTAGTCCTCCCTATAGGATCATTATGCATTTACTAAATTATGCCAAAGCTGTACGTATATGTGTGCGCATTTTAAGATTTAAAGGTATTTAGTAATAGTTGGCAACATTCTCTAGAGGTTATTTTTGTTCCTTGAATTTTGTCATTGAATTTTTTAAATTTGCTAAAATGTGATTTCCATTTTTTCTTATTTTTAAGTCACTGCTTCTCCCTGAGCTTAGCTCTACTCCCTGCCTCCTATGGTCATCTAGGATTTCTTAGATTTAACTTCAGTATTTTTATAAGAAAATATCTCCCAAGTATTCAAGCGATATTACTCCTTGCAGGGAATCCCAAGATAAACATCCATTCTAACCAAAAAAAAAAAAAAAAAACAAGGCCTCTTCTTTTCTTACTTACAGTCATACCAATGGGGCAAACCCTCACATATTTCAGAAGTATGAATGCCACTTCCAAGAGAAAGAGTAACATTCAAGTTGTCTTTAAATCTAAATTTGAAATATTAAGGTAGAGGGAGCTTTTATCTAATATTATAGAAACTAAAAAAAAAGAGTGAGGTAGGCCTTGAAGTTGTGCTATCATAGAAGATGGCTAAGGGGAACTAGAAACTTGAGGTGCTAAAGCACGAGATGATGGCCAATCTGGGTTATAAACTATTTTAAACATTTTAAAAACTAGTAAAAGAGCCATTAGGCAAACAGTGGACCAATGGTGGAAAAAAAAAAATCTGTGCCAACACATTGTGAAACCAAAGGTTAACTTATTTTTAAACAATTTATATATTTTCCATCAAAAAGTAGCTAAAAAGATAAAACTGCGTTTGAAAATCCTGACCTCTGAAGGTCAATACTCAAAATCAGCCCTTGTGCACAAGGTTTGAGGGATGTGTTTTTGGAAATCCAAGTGCACCCACTCTGCTTTATGGCAGTGTTTACCACAGCTGCTGATCAAGAAGTGTACAGGGTCCCTAATACCCCATTTAGAAGACTTAATAGCATAAATTCTTTTCTGTGTAATATATTATAAAACTGTTGATTCTCTTTCAGTCTATTTAAATACAAGTGGTTTTCAGAAAGATATATCTTTGACCAGCTTGTACTGGTCCTGAGTGTCACTGCTGGCACATTTCACCAATGACATTGCAATTGTCCTAGTTTGAGTTAACAAATCGTTGTCACTTCATAATGGAATGGACAGAAATCAAAGACAGAAAAAGGTAATAAAGATGTCCAAAATGTAAAAATGGGGATAAAAAAACAAAAAAGAAAAAAGAAGAAAGAGGATGTCAATAAAAGAATATTCATGTCAATAAAGCATTAATAGTTATGTTTTTCATAAGTAGATTCAAAGAAAGCAATGATAAGACATATGTTGACACCAACATGACAGATCAATGAAAATACATTACATTTTCCAACAATAAAAGTGAAAAATGCCAATATAAAACAATTCAATTTAAACAAAATTATTTCTTGGGTTGGGTTAAGGGTCCTAGCTCAAAGAAACAGAACTAAACTGTCACCTCGGAAAGCTTGATTTCAGATACAAAGATGGTGAATGACAAGGGGTATGAGGATCAATATGCATGGCAATCAATCAGGGATAATTCCACTACGGATTTTGTTTGTTTTACACTTTTTCAACATTTCTGTTTGTGTATTTGTTTTATGTAATGGAACAGATTGAACCACATGAAATTGCTGATATTAGGCCTTTTAAAAAAATCTATAAAATGGCAAGTTCAAATGAATCAGCCTAATATAAAGCAACTTGATTCCATGCAACAATCAAAACAACAAAGGCAAAAATCTGCTGGGCTTAAAAAAAATCATGTTCTAATCTAAATTTTCCTAATGGTTTTTGCGGCAGGTGTCAGAGTTGAATAAAGAAAGGGGAGAGAGAAAGGAAAAAAAAGAAACTAAGACTAGAAGTGCTGTACCTTTGTTCCAGCTGCCTCATGGCTATAGTAATTTTATTGGTTTTGTCTTCTAGTCGTGCAATTATCTCATTTTTTTCTTTCAAACTATCTTCAGAACCCTATTTAGAAAAACATAAAAGCTACAGTGGTTTTGACTTTTATACCTGAATATTTACAAGCTTTGTATACCATTTTGCTGTGGGACTGTTACTTTGGAATGAACAGTTAATTTATAGATTAAAATACTCTCATAATATAAAGCAGTAGTACTACCAGTCTTCATTAAAAATATAATAAAGGGAAAAAACTCAGCTTTCAATGTTTTTGGAAGACAACAGGCTAAGCTCTTGTAAAATATGCTGTTTTTGAAATTAAATTGTAAAGGGCTTTTGGCAACAAGTCTACTGAACAAACATGTCACTTTATTAGATAATTCATAATCATTATAGTAAAATATTTCAGTCAAAATTAAATCTGTCTTAGGACTATGCTGTATAAAGAAGTTCACAAAATGTCCTGCATAATTAGATTGAGTTTTCCCAAAAGATTTAACTTTCATACTGTTAACCTTCCAGCATTAAAAAAACAAATTCAGATAGGTGCTTTTGTTTGTTCTCTGATACTTTTTCATTGCTACATATCTGAAGCTTCCATTTAAGAATTTAAAAAAACACCTCACTTTTTATAACCAATATGGCACAGTTAAAACAGGCTCATCTATTAAAAACCAAACCCTATATACAAATATTCATTTTCAAATTATATAACAAGAAATTCCAAGAATTTAAGAACATTCCTTACCTGCAACTTTTGATACATCTCTATGTTAATTGCTTTAACTTCCTCTAGTTGTTGTCTAAGGCCTATCAGAGTGTCTTGTTTCTCATGGATATCTTTCTCCAACAACTTCATGGCAAGTTCAATCTCATGCTTCATACTAACTTGCACAGCTAGCTCGTTCTCGGCATCCTGTAATTGCAACATATCCTCAATTCACGTGCCACTTCAGGATGTCAAAATCAGATACACAACAGTTAACGAGGCCAAGAAAGAGTTTCTACTCCTTTTGAGTTATAAGTCCCACTAAAGGGAATCAATCAAGCCCTAAAACAACATTCTAAATATTTTCAAATGCATATTTTGCTAAAATGAAAGTATTTCCTAGATTGTCAATTATCACTATTCTACTGGCTCAAGGATGAAGTATTTTTATGCCTCATAAACTCAGTATTGATTTTCCTTAAGTAAAACAATAAAGCCATCTATATAAGTGAAAGTCAAAGAGAACTCGAAAATTCTATTTCACAATCTTAATTTCTTCTCTTAAAGAATTTTACATCAGAAGGAAAAGCTGTTTCCTAATATTAAAGACAAAGAGCAAAAGTAATGAAAAGGCTCGCAATGCTCTCTTCTTCACCTGGGTAGTAGTTACACAGGTAGTTACATTATAATTCATTAAGCTACACATTTGTATTTTTCTGTAGGTGTTATATTTAATAATTTAAAAGGGTAAAAAACTTAATTTAAAATATGATTTTACTAATACTTGAATACAGCATTCTATTTCCTTTTTTGTCATGTTGGTCATGATCTATTCATTTCAAAAGTACAGATGTAACAGTTTAAAAATACCATTAAAAAAAACACTGATACAGTGGGAGCTTAAAGAATTGGAGGGATTTGAGTGAGGCGGATTGCCATCCCACACCAAGGAAGATGAGGCTGAAAGAAATTTTAAGTGGTGTTTGCTTAAGGGTAAATAATAACTATTATTACTATTGTTAGCTAATGTAACTTTAATGCAATCTACCTGTCGTAACTGAGACTCATCTCGAAGCTGCCTTCTTGCTTCATTGTACATTTCATCTAGCCCCTGTCGAGAATGCTTATATGTTTGAAGCTCAGTTTCCACATCCACTTTGGTAACCTAGGAAGAAAATTGTCAATTTTATCATCACTATTATTAATACAGCACAGAAATACCCAATCTATACAAAAGTTGCAAAAAGTAACAATTTTTGACACAAGAGTCTGTTTGCAATCAGTCTATACTTACCTCTAGGTGTTGCTGTGTTTTCATTAAAATCAGTTTATTCTCACTTCGCAATTGATGATTTTCTTCTTGCAGTTTAATGATATTATTCTTTGCTATTGCTAACTAAAAATTATGAAACATGGGCAAAAAAAATTTTAAACATCTTTATACTTGTTTTACAGGTTATATTCATGGCTATAAATAATAGAAAATAAAATCCTAAAACTAGTAAAAATGACTCTAACAATTACAGAAACTTTTATAAGAAATATGTGTTTCTATTACCCCAAAATACCAATTTAAAAAAATTTACTAATTTCTACTGTTTCCTTTTCTTAGTCAATATATATTATGTTAATCAAACATATTATGTTTAACTGGTTTACAATATGCCCTGAATACAAAGTGCCTGAGTCAGCATATAAAGAAATATGTGGAAACAATAAAACTGTAAAAACTTGTGTAAAAACAGAAATGTCCATAAGGAAAAAGGTTTTGCTGTCATTGGAAATGACATTTGCGATAACAAACAGGATGCCCTATGAAACATGGCGCACTGAGTGACCAATGCAAACATGAGACAGCTCTCAGTATCAGAGTTAAACCTGAACCACTAAGTGAATGAATGGCTTGACTCTGAGGCCCAGAATAAAAAGGATCCTAGGAAAGGAAAGCAGGGACCACTCCCCAGTGCTGACTTGCAAATAAATTTCTGAACAATTTATTAAGGATACAACTGAACTTCACAGTGTGTGCTTCTGACCAAGAAGAGGCACAAACCAGTGAGCAGCTCTCTCTCACAGTCCCAAACTATCAAAATGAAGATGTACTCTTAATTGCAATTATACAAGCAATCACGTTTCCCTGGTTTGAAAACACAGGGCAAGTTTTAAAAGAAAGAAAAATTTTAATTCACAGGGAAAAGAGGTTTAATAGCATTAGTAAAATAACATATTTCTTCCTCTACCCAAAATAATTCTGAAAATAGAAAGCAATACTTCTATGGTTAAATAGATTTTTAACATATTAAAAAACAGTATAAAAAAGAGAACTAGCATAGTCTCTGGTTCTGGGACCACCAGAGAGCCACTTTGAAAGTGCAGGAAACCAGAGCACATGGGAAGAATTTTACACATGGGAAGGTAAAAACAGGGTGGATATGATCATGCTTGAAAAGAAAAGCAATCTGAATAGTGGAACAAGAGAGAGAGTATCACTTCAGCATGAAGTCCTAACTATAGGTGATTCTATATCTAAAATCAGGCTATGCAGATTTAAAATGAGAAGCATAGCTCACTTATAGAAGAGTATGTATGAGTTTCATCTTTGAGGCTCATTCCTAGAAGGTGAGTATCTCAAAACAGGTAAGATTCATTTGAGATATGTGGTTTCTCTAAAACTTTTTTTTTTTTGCAAAGGCAAATTTATTTTTCAATTTTTTTCTATTAGTTTACATTTAATATTATTTTGTGTCACTTTCAGGTGTACAGCATAGTGGTTAGCCAGTCATATATTTCCAGTACCCAACTGGCACCATACAGTTATTACAATATTATTGTGTATATTTCCTATGCTGTACTTTACATTGCTATGACTTTTGTAACTACCAATCTGTACTTCTCAGTCTCTTCACCTTTTTCACCCAGTCCCCAAAACCCCCTTCCTAAAGGGACTTGTTTTCAGAGATGTGAGCAGGGTGTAGGAAAACCATGAAGGACAGTGCAATACTCTGGACAAGTAACAGCAGGAGGTCATAGGAAGAAGTTAGGCAGTTATTGGAACCTGGAGAGAGAGACAGAGATCCTAGGAAGACATGTGCCCTTTGATGAAAGCCCAGCAACCCTTTGTAAACTGCCTTACTCCCCAGGCTCCTTCTGAAACACCTGTGACTGGCCACCCACTCTTGAGATGGTGGTGCCTACAAACCACCATGAATCTCAAGAGGCTACCATTAAACTTTTCAATTACAACTGTGTTGCATATTTTCTTCCATCATCAACATTAAAATGGCTGCACAAAAATTCACCAATTTTCATAAGCCTTTTAAAAAAAATTCTTGCTGATAAGACTGCTGTCACAATATAATCTAACAAAATTTCAAATGAAGTTAGACAACTAAACTCTACTAGAGCCACCTTATGGGAAAAAAAAAACCAAACTTGTTGGCCAAACCAATATAAGTATTCCATCATAATGATGAAAATGTGTGTGTGCATGCTTATTACACTCATGCCGAACATGAAAAAGGATTATAAATACTAGGTCCGTGAAAGACAATTATCCATGGCTGATGACAATACCTCTTCGATCAGCTTTGTATTTGACTTTTCTAATGAGTCAACTCTTGAATGGAGACTGCTGACTGTGCTGCTGAAATTAATAAAGAAAAAACTCATTCAAAATCACACAAACTCACAAAGGCAAGAAAAAGTATGTTATCCTGGACTCTATGTTAACTGACATGCACCAAATGCCAACTGAATTTTGAGTGTGGGAGTTTCAGTAAGTTGGATATCCTGATTTAGCTAGAAAAACGATAAAGACTGAAGCAAAAGAACCAATATTTCTATTAAAATTTTATTTGATGCTGCTCATTATTTTTTGTCTTCTTAGGGTCCCTTTTTACATTTAACTTCTAATATTTAGGAATAAAAATTCCACACAAAAGAGTACTCAATATTACTGAAACTAAATTTAAAGTTATTTTTAAAGGGTAAACTTTAAATGTCCATTTTGTAATTAAGTGGCTTAATGATGCCACTTATAAACAATGTTCATGAACAGAAGTCCCACTGTTTCCCCTCTCCACTTTCATAACAACTTAAAGACCTCCAAAGTCACCTGTTGTTGAGAAATGTAAACATGCGATACCTAGTATCAGGAATATAGTCAGCCTGACACTAAGCAAACACCTCGGCTTTCAAGGATAGTCAAGTCAGGTTACACCACATAAACACACTCGTTTTTCACATTTTTGTTTAAATCAACCAATACTGGACATTAATGTACATTTTACTGAGTCTGATTTTCAAGGGCTGCTTGATTTTACCATCTCAAACTTTATCTAATAAAATGTTAATATGCTGTATACATCACAGTAAAGATATATAGTAGATTCAACAAATTTTATACCATGCTCAGAAACAACTATTGGCATTTCAGTTAAGCTATGAAACAGAAAAAATGTTTTTTCATTTATATTAAATCACTTTTTAGATATAACCATTCTGAGGTAAACAACTCGAGTTCTTCACCAACAGCACCATACTGATGACAAGCTATAACCAGCACAGGACTGGAAGATGAAAGACCAAGCTTGGAGTCCCTGCTTTTCTAATTGTGTCGCCTCCTGAAACCTTTCCGAGTTCCAGCCTCCTCACCTATATAGTCACACAATATTTGCCCTACCTTTATGTGAGAATGAAAAAATAATTTAAAAAGTAACTTTTGAAAACAATAATGTTTGTTTAAACATATTCGAATAATAAATAATTTGTTTTTGAAAACAAAACCCTCGATAGTGGTTTTCTTTGGAAAACAGGTGAATTCTATTTTTTATCTGATTTCTACACTTTCAAAACATTCTAAATGTTCACAAACTATTTTCCAATTAAAAAAAAAACAAAGAAAAAGGGGAAGTGTTTACAGGACCAAGTATAAAGGACACATGGACAAAAACAAGGGGGGTGGAAATGGGAGGGAGGTGGGGAGGGCTGGGGGGTGGGCTAGGATGGGAGTAAAAAGCAGAAAACTGTACTTGAGCAACAATGAAAATTAAAAAAAGAGAAAAAGAAAAACAAAAATGCTTTGAATACATAAAATATACAGAAGACACAAGTATTGCAGTAACTGATTAACAAACAAACACATAATTTAAAAAAGACTGAGAAAGCTCATTTGAACCAAATGGAATAGTCTCTAAGATAAACTGTTGAGTAAAAACAGTAAAGTACAGAATAGTGTAAAAAAATGTGCTACCTTATGTGTAAAGAACCGAAAGTGAGAAATATGAGAAAATATATGCGTATCCTTATTGATTTGCATAAAGCATCTGTGGAGGCATTCACAGGACCTAGTATATTAGTAAATCCCTCGGAGAAGAACTAGAAGGTTACAGATCAGGGAAGAGGGAGACCTTTCATTTAATGCTCCTTTTGAAGTTTCAACCGTGGGAATATATTGCCTGTTCCCAAAAAGTGAGTAAAAGTTTAAAAGTAAATAAGTAACACAGGGTTGCACTTAGAGATGCAGTCTCAGAGCCCTGGCCAGGCTGCACAGTTGGTTAGAGCATCATCCCCATATGCCAAGGTTGTGGATTCAATCCCCAGTCAGGCCACATACAAGAAGCAACCAATGAATGCATAAATAAGTGGGACAACAAATCGATGTCTCTCTCAAATCAATTACAAAATAATTAAAATAACCCTGGCTGGTATGGCTCGGTGGATTGAGCACTGGCCTGCCAGCCAAAGGGCTGCTAGTTTAATCCCTGGTCAGGGCACATGCCTGGGTTGAGGGCCAGGTCGCCAGTTGGGGGTGTGTGAGAGGCAACTGATTATTTCTGTCACACATTCATGTTTCTCTCCCTCTCTTTCTCCCTCCCTTTCCCTCTTTCTAAAAATAAGTAAGACTTTAAAAAATATAATTAAAATAAAAAGTAAATACAATATCACCAATATAAATGACAAAAATACAGATACATACAATGCACACATTTCCTACGATAGCTATTATTAAAACTCCATCACTAAAGAAGACGACACTGACATGAGATCTCCCCTGTCTCCAACTTCAGAGGGAAAGCAAGAGTTACAGCTTATTAGCTTTTCTGCAATGAGAACATGTTTATTTGTATCTTCTGATTGTAATACATGTTTATTGGGTAACATGCAAAAAGTACAGAAAACTATAAAGAAAAAATAAAAAGTATTCATACTCCTATCATCCAGAGTTAGCCAGTTTGGCTAATTCTTCCTTTCAACTAATGAGAACAGTCCATTTCTAACTACATAGCAAATATTCATTCACTATACCCATGTTATATACTATGGTAGCCATAAGCCATTTGTGGCTACTACTAAGCACTTACAATGTCACTAATCCAGATTTAAATGTGCTGTGAGTAAAATACACATTGAATTTTGAAGATAGTACCAAAAAATTAATATAAAATACCTAAATAATTTTTATAGTGATTAAATGTTGAAATGATAATATTCTGGGTTAAATAAAATATATTTTTAATTAACTTCAGCTTTTTTTTTACTTTTTTAATGAGGTTTACTAGAAATTTTAAATTGCCTATGTGACTCACATTATGCTTTTATTGGACAGAACTGCACTATAGTACTTTGCAAACGTGTATCAGAAATTCTCCTCAGATAGAGTATTCACTGACAGTTCCAGTGACCAGGCAACACTGGAAGGAGACAACTTCCACCGCGGAGTATGAAAGCCACATTTATACATGAAGCCTCTTGAAGTAGGAGAAAATGAATTTTTGAAGTGTCAAAATGACAGAAACTTCCACCCTATCTATCTAACCTTTTTTCTTAAGGGCACAGGGATAGGTTTGAAATTCTATTTTTAAATTCTGAGAATTCTATTTAAAAATCTGATTCTCATTTTCTACTGAAAATGAATCATCTCCAGTAACTCTCTGTATCCTTACTTCCCATTTTCTCTATTCACTGTAACCCCTTCTAGAAGATGCACAGAAGAATAGGGTTAAGTTGACCTGACCGGGGAACCCTAAGACAATAGTCATAAATATACTAAGTATTCCAAGTATCCATAATACTTACTTCAGTTGTCTATTTAATTCTTCAACATAATTCTTCTGGTCTAATATGGCAGCAATTTGAACATTCCTAAAGGGGGGAAAAGTAGTTTTGTGCTAATTGAAAGGTATTTAGTGGGTACCAAAGATAATATCTAAATCATCTAAAATTGCTGTAAAAATAATGTCTAAGTCATTTAAAAATTTTTAATGCCATAATGGCAAAATATTATCTTGCCTTTAAAATTTAATAATCTTTATAGTCAGTAGCAGTAAATTGTCCAATTATATTAAATAACTATAATATTTATTAAATAACTTGCTAATACACTTAATGTGCCATTAGTATATTTAAAAATTTTTACATCAGTATGATTTATTTTCTATTGAAATATATGACCTATAACTGTGTAAATTTAAGGCATACCACGTTAGCTCAATATATTTATATTGTGATATGATTGCCATTGTAGCAATAATTAGCAGCTCTATCACATTATATAATTATCCTTTCTTTTTAGTACTTGGAATAAGTATAATTTAAATTTAAACATAATTAGATCTTGAAATAAACTAGTATATGTAAGCTTGTGAATAATAAGCTTTCATCACTTTTATCACAAAACACAGCATAGTACTAAAATGGGTTTCAGGCCCTGGGGGGGTGACTCGGTTGCTTGGAGCATCATCCCGTGCACCAGACGGTTGCAGATCTGATTCCCCATCAGGGCATATGCCTAGGTTCTGGGTTTGATCCCCAGTTGTGAGCAGGACACAACCAATCAATGCTTCTCTTTCACATCAATGTTTCTCTCTCTATTCCTCTCTCTCAGATCAATGAAAATGTGTCCTTAGATGAGGAGGGAAGAAATTTATAAAATGGGTTACAGGAACTACTGGTATAACCAAAGTCATATATCAGACTAAAGTCTCCTTCCAAGTGGTCTTTGCTTTTTAAAGCTTGTAAATGGAAATGAAAACTAAATAAAGCAGGAACTACACACAAATAATGGTAATAAAAAACACACGGTAAATAGATGGACCTCAGACTGATTTATAAAGACCCACATAAAAAATACATGTGAAATAACTTACGAAAATCTTACCTTTCTTTATTTCCAATATCATCTTCATTCTTTAAATACATGGAAAAATCAATCACTCCAACCTGAATTTATAAATAAAGTTATTTCTATTTAAAGGGGAAAAATATCTAAAGTACATTTAACATGCAACTGAATTTTATTCTTAATTTTTCTTTAATGTTTAACTGCACCGTTTACAACTTAAAGCAATAGTAATACCTGGATCAAAGTGGAACACTGCAAACTGAAAACACTTTGCTTTTGGTACTAATCACTTCCACTTACTTGTGAGTCTAAATCCTCTCCCTTTACACACAGATTAGCATCTATTACATTCAGGCCAACCAGTAGCCCAACAATTACTGCTCCTTCTTCTTCCATCATTAGTGCATGATACTCATAAAATTCACTGTGAAAATTAAAATAATAAAAACATTGAATCACAAATGTATTTCAAAAACTAAATTTTGTAATCTCAGTACCTTATTACAAACATGAAACCAATATTAGGTATCTTCAAATTAGCCTTTCTATGTGTGAACAATTTAAACTTTTTGAAATTTAAATGTTTATACAGAAAATGTAAAAAAAAGAGACCAAAAGAAATAAAATTAAAAAAAAAAATTTTGAATGCTAAGAAGAGAAGCAAGGATAGATCAAAGGAAAAAGAGGCATCACTGAGGGCTGGAATGTTAATGACTCTCAGAAGACAGTGACTGCTGCTGATCTGATTACAACACTTTAATTAGAGTTGAATTTTTAATTCAAGGATTTATTAAGACCCTTGGGATAAAGACTAAGGTAACTAAATGAACATATTACATATTTCAAAGCTCATGTTCAAGTCAGTGGTTTTGATATGTACATTGCAAGTGTTACTAATAGAGAAACAATAAAAGGTACTTATGGATATCTATATTCTAAAAAAAATTCAAATAAGAGACTTGTGAAAGGAATGGGACAGTTTAAAAATTAATATTTGACTATTTATATTAAGAGAACTAGTTATCACTGTCTCAGGCCTTCTTCAAAAGTCACATGTATAATATTTAACCACTTCAATTAACCTTCAGAATATAACTGAGAAATTGCAGGTACTTAAAGTATGGTCATTCTCATTTAAAATATGGGAAAGCCAAGATGTACAACTAGAGTCACAAGTAAACCCAAAACAATTAAATTTTCCAGAACATCAGACATACACTCTAAAAGAACAAGAGTGAATTAAGGGGCTACCATGGGCCCACTTCCTTTGAAAACTGATTGCCTTGCTTTGACAGTCTGTCTTAACCATTTGGCCTCCAATTTAAACTGATGGTTTACAATACAGTCAAAACAGCAGTCTGGACATTCAAGATCTGAAAAGAGACCTCTTGAGCCCTGGCTGGTGTGACTCGGTGGATTAAGTGCCAGCCTGCGAACCAAAGGGTGGCTGATTCAGTCACCAGTCAGGGCATATGCCTGGGTAGCCTGCCAGATCTCCAGTTAGAGGCGTGTGAGAGGCAACCACACATTGATGTTTCTCTCCCTCTCTTTCTCCCTCCCTTCCCCTCTCTCTCTGGAAATAAATAAAATCTTTAAAAATAAATAAATAAAATAAAAGGAGACCTCTTGAACTAAAGCCCCAAATTCCACTATAAATTTTTACTCATAGAATAACTGTAACTCAGAAAAAAAATGTACCTTACACTTTAAAAAATGAAGCTTAGAAATATAAATTTCCCCCTTATCAGCTGATAAAAAGTGTACAATATTCTTTTTTTTCGGCTATTTACTAATCAGTGTATGTCCCCCACAATGATTTTCTCACTCATTTTGTTCTTCCTTTTATTTTATGTCATGTTATTGTATTTTATGAATCGTTTTTTTACTACATCTTCAATCCTTTTTGGAAGACACCATATAAAGGAAATAAAAAATGAAAATGAATACAATTTAATGGTACTAACCTCAAGAGATCCCTTTGAATTATTAAGCAACGAAGATAATCAGCCATTTTTTTTTGCATGAGAGCTAATCGAAGCCATGCCCTTGCACGACCCAGGGGGGTCCTAAAAAGTAAAACCAATTGGTAAGAAAATAGCCCCAGCCCAAAGATAATGGACTACATGTTCTATCTCTGTTGAGGTATACATTAATAAGGAAAAAAAGCAATTTATCATGGTTTTGTCTTCATTTCTCTAGTTTTAAGCCAGTTCTTCGAGCATGCAAACCAATCCTTGACAACTACTTAAGTCCAAAGGTAAACTTGCATCTGTAGAACGTCTAGGTACCATTTTATGGATTGGAAGAAATGACTCTCTAAAAAGTGAGAATATTTCTACAAGCAACACTTAGTCAGAATGGGCTTAGCCTTCTAAAAATGAATATGCATCAATAGAGCAGTATAATGCCTTAAAAAATAACTGACATCATATCTGACTGTAAAAAAATCATAGCAAAGCTAAAAAGGTACCAACCAGGACTTCTGGCTAAGATGGAGGTGTAAGTAGACACACTGTGCCCCCTCACACAACCAAAATAAGGACAACAACCATTTAAAAACAACAAAATAACCAGAACTGACAGAAAATTGAACTGTACAGAAGTCCAACAATGAAAGAGTTAAAATAGACACACTCATCCAGACTGGTAGGAAGGGCAGAGTCTGGTGGCTGGGCAGAGAAGGGTCGGGCAAAAAAAAAAAGTGGTGGCTTGCGGACCGTGGGCACACAAGGCACAGTTCAAAACACTAGTAATCAGGATGCTCACAGAATTGGTTGAATTTGGTCGCAAATTAGATGAAAAAATGAAGGCTAAACTAAGTAAAATAAAGCAAAATGTACAGGGAACCAACAGTGATGGGAAGAAAACTGGAACCCAAATCAATGGAGTGGACCAGAAGGAAGAAAGAAAGGACCAAAGAGAAAAGAATGAAGAAACAAGAATTCAAAATAAGGAGGAGAGGCTTAGGAATCTCCAGGACATCTTTAAACAGTCCAACATCTGAATCATATGTATGCCAGAAGAAAAAGAGGAAGAGCAAGAAATTGAAAACTTATTTGAACTAATAATAAAGAAAACTTCCCCAATATATTTGCCCCAAGGCAAAGGAAACAGACTTCCAAGAAGTCCAGGAAGCCCCAGAGAAGTTGGACCCAAGGAGGAACACACCAAAGCACATCATAATTACATTAGCCAAGATTAAAATGAAGAGAGAATCCTAGAAGCAGCAAGAGATAAGGAGACAGTCACCTACAAAGGAGTTCCCATCAGACTGTCAGCAGATTTCTCAAAAGAGGCCTTACAGGCAAGAAGGGGCTGGAAAGAAGTATTCCAAGTCATGAAAGGCAAGGACCTACATCCAACATTGTTCAATCCAGCAAAGCTTTCATTTAGAATGGAAAGGCAGATAAAGTGCTTCTCAGATAAGGACAAGGAGTTCATCATCACCAAGTTCTTATTATTAATAAGGGAAATGTTAAAGGGACTTATCTAAAAAAAAGAAGATAAAAAATATGTATAGTAAAATGACAGCAAACTCACAATTATTAACAACCATACCTAAAACAAAAATAAAAACAAACTAAGCAAACAACTAGAACAGGAACAGAATCACAGAAATGGAGATCACATGGAGGGTTAGCAACAGGGGAGTGGGAAGGGGAGAGAGGGGGAAAAGGTACAGAGAATAAGTAGCATAGATGGTAGGGAGAAAATAGACAGGGGGAGGCAAGAATAGTATATGAAATACAGTCTCCAATAAATTGTTGCTGACTGCCTACTATTGTAAAACATCTTAACACTCAGGAAACAGAAATGCATAATTGATACATCCTGCTTTAAAAGAACTTGCATTGTATTGCAGTAAATTACTGCAAAATTCTGCAATACTGCAGAATTAAAGTAAGTGATATAATAAGGAAATTACTATGGTGATAAGAACCTAAAAATAAAAAGTAGTTACTTATTACTGAAGGGGCTAAGAAAAACCATGAAATTTGAGCTGAACCATGAAGAATGAACAGAATTTTATTAGGAGACAATGGAAGAAGGCTATTTAAGGCTGAGAGAAGATAAATTAGAATGTGAAGTACTTTTAAGGAACCGCAAATATACTTCTGTGGTTACAGATGAACAAGTAACAAGATGACTTACTTAAGACCAGGTAAGTCCCGGACACTAGCCCCTATTTCCTCTGCTTCTGGGTACAGCTTCTCCACTAGTTCCAAAGGACCCCAAATAGTTTTGTTGTAACTCAAAAATGATTTTCTTACTGAAAAAAAGAAAATGTAATGCATATGACTTTAACATATGTATATAACTACAGTAACTTCCTTTAAAATATTTAATTTCAATATTTCTAACAACATACAATTATTCAGAGACCTTAACTCTTTTATCACACTGCACAGCCTGTTAATCAGGATCCTGGTATTTTTCCTTATGAGAAATATGTACCTTGGCCATTCTTCCAAATCAGAAATATGTAGGCAGATAGATAGTTACGGTAAAAAACAACTGGGCCCACTCTTTACCAGTACCAAAATAGAAAGGCTGACAGCCCTAGAAAGTTTATCTTTATCAGTTTATTAAATAAAGCAAAGACAAATAAATATATTACTTTTTTTAAAATCCTTAACCAAGGACATTTTTTTTCATTGCTTTTAGAGAGAGAGAAAGAGAGAGAGAAACATCCATGAAAGAGAGAAGCATGAACTGGTTGCCTGTCAGCAGATTTCTCAAAAGAGGCCTTACAGGCAAGAAGGGGCTGGAAAGAAGTATTTCCCAGACAGACCTGGTCCGGGAATTGAACCTGCAATCCTTTGGTCACATGATAATGTTCGAACCAACTAAGCCACACAGGCCAGGGATAGTTACATTAGTTTTAAACATGAAAAAATGTGACTTTCCTTTTCCTTTTTTTTAAATCTGAGATTTGGGTAATATAAAACCATAAAATCACTATCCATTTCTTTCTTAAGACTGACCAGCTCTCCTGCAGATGCACTGTGCCTATCATATGTACCATCCAAGGACAACCATGAAGTGAGGCAATTTTTCTTTGGGGGAAAAAAATCAAACAGTACCAGTAGACTTATAATGATTCATCAAAATAGGCCTATGACTGTTAGGAGATGTCTCATGATATTTTGTGAAGTAAAAGAAAACAAAATCAGAGAAGTTTAAATTTTAATTATTTTTGCCATCTTTTGGTAAATTGCATTTCAGCAAGTTGGGAAAAATGAAAAATCTATGTTACTGTTATTATTTATCTATTTAATTAATTGTTGTTCAAGTACAGTTTTCTGTCTTATACTCCCATCCCAGCCCATCCCCCCCAGTGTCCCCCACCTCCCTTCCATTTCCACCCCCTTAGTTTTTGTCCATGTGTCCTTTATACTTGTCGCTGTAAACCCTTCCCCTCTTTCCCCTGAAATTTTCTCCCTTCTCTCCTCTGGTCACTGTCACCCTGTTCTCTATTTCAGTGCCTTTGGTTATATTTTGCTTGCTTGTTTGTTTTGTTGTTTAGGTTCCTTTTAAAGGTGAGATCATATGGTATTTGTCTTTCAACACCTGGCTTATTTCACTCAGCATAATGCTTTCCAGTTCCATCCATGCTGTTGCAAAGGGTAGGAGCTCCTTTTTTCTTTCTGCTGCATAGAATTCCATTGTGTAAATGTACCACAGTTTTTTGATCCATTCATTTACTGATGGGCACCTAGGTTGCTTCTAACTCTTGGCTATTGTAAATTGTGCTGCTATGAACATTGGGGTGCACAGGTTCTTTTGGATTGGTGTTTTCAGGATTGTTAGGATATAATCCTAGCAGTAGAACTGCTGGGTCAAAAGGCAGGTCCATTTTTAGTGTTCTTAGAAAATTCCAGCCCTGGCTGGCATAGCTCAGTGGATTGAGTGCGGGCCTGCGAACCAGAGTATCGAGGTTCGATTCCCAGTCAGGGCACATGCCTGGGTTGCAGGCCAGTTCCCAGCAGGGGATGCATGAGAGGCAACCATACATTGATGTTTCTCTCCCACTCTTTCTCCTTCCCTTCCCCTCTTGATAAATAAATAAATAAATAAATAAATAAATAAATAAGTAAGTAAGTAAGTAAGTAAATGAAAGAAAGAAAGAAAGAAAGAAAGAAAGAAAGAAAGAAAGAAAGAAAGAAAGAAAGAAAGAAAGAAAGGAAGGAAGGAAGGAAGGAAGGAAATTCCATACTGTTTTTCATAGTGGTTGTAAGAGTCTGCAATCCCACCAACAGTGAACTAGGGTCCCCTCTTTTCCACAACCTCTCCAACACTTGTTTGTTGCTTTATGATGGCCATTCTGACCGGTATAAAGTGGTATCTCATTGTGGTTACTGTTATTTTTTTTAATGAAAAGGAAATTTTCAAAAAGCAAGTCCTACCCTGGCTCAGTGGATTAAGTGCCAGCCTGCAAAACCAAGGGTTGCTGGTTTGATTCCCAGTCTGGGCACATGCCTGGGTTGCAGGCCAGGTCCCCAGTAGAGGGCATGTGAGAGGCAACCACACACTGATGTTTCTCTCCCTCTCTTCCTCCATTCCCCACTCTCTAAAAATAAATAAATAAGATCTTTAAAAAAAAAAAAAAGAGTAAGCAAGCCCTGGCTGGTGTGGCTCAGTTGGTTTGGTCATCCTGCAAAGCGAAAAAGTCACCAGGGACATGCCTAGGTTGCAGGTCAGTATCTGGTCAAAGCATACGTAAGAGGCAACCAACTGATGTTTCTCTCCCTCTCTTCTTTCCTTTCTCTTTCTCTAAACGTCAATAAACATATTCTTGGATGAGGGTGTTTTTTAATTTTTTATTTTAAAAAAGAAAATAAATCTGCCCTGGCTGGTATAGCTCAGTGGATTAAGCATGGGCCTGTGAAGCAAAGGGTCACAGGTTCAATTCCCAGTCAGGGCACATGCCTGGGTTGCAGGCCAGGTCCCAAGTAGGGGACATGTGAGAGACAACCACACACTGATGTTTCTCTCCCACTCTTTCTCCTTCCCTTCCCCTCTCTCTAAAAATAAATAAATAAAATATTTTTTAAAAAAGAAAGTAAATCTTTAAAGTTCTCATGACAAGAAAAAAAGAACTTGTAATTATGTGTGGTGATGGATGTTAACCAGACTTGTGATAACTTCACAATATATACAAACATCAAATTATTGTGTTGTATACCTGAAATTAATATAATGTTATAGGTCAATTATATCTCAATAAAAATAAATGAATAAAATTTAAAAAATAAATGAGTACATTAATAACATCACACAGAATTTCTCAAATTTTGGCACCAAGATTCCTTCTAAGTTTGAAGTACATTTTATTAAAACCACATTTAGATAAATCTCCTCTTCTGCTTTTTACATGTACCCACACTCTCATGCACCAGAGTCAGAACTTCTAAGCCCTCCCAGCCTACTCAGGCTCCTAGTGCAAGAAACCACGTTTCTCTTGCTTTACAATAACTGCCTTAGTAAACAACTTTACTCACATAGCTGTCCACACAGCTGTTGATCATATGAATTAGAGACCAAAACTGTCTAATAATTATAAGAAGTTATTATGTAACAAATGTTAAATAATTATAATGCATTTTACACATTTCATAATTCAACATGAACTGTATAGAAGAACACAATATTCACTATTAATATTGTTTTCAGGGAGCACTCACATTTCTATAATAACCCAATTTAGAAGACAATTTTTCTAGATATGTTTCCATGTGCTAAGGAAGTTTATATTTCACTAATCAATTGTTTTAATGTATTTGTTCAATAGCACCTAGACTAGTAAAAAGAGTTCATATCAGAATCACCAAACTTGACATTTTTAATATGTCTATAAATGTCTTAGAAAATGGAAAACAATTCAGAGTATGTTGAAAAACTTTTACAGTAAATACGCCTTTTAACCAAACACTAACAAGTACTCATTTTCTAAGACCACCCATTTCAAAACATAAAGCAATAGGATATTTTCTCCCAAAACCAACCCACCGAGTATTTTTAAATGTAAAGTAACAATAATTATGGCCTCAAAACAACAACAAAAAACATATTTTCAAGAATGTTTAAGATGTAAGAGAGATTGATTCTAACTTTTTTAAGTCTCATGATACCTTTAAGACCGTGTTTCAGACAATGTTCCATGACAACAAAGAACTGCTGCAAGGGGGGATAGTCAGAATCCAAAGTGCGGCCAAAGCTGAGAGCAGATTCAATGAGTCCTTTGATACTCAATTTTGCCATGTTTAACAAGTTTGCTCGCTCTACAGCTGTGGGGTCTTTTGTAGCTGAAAGCACAAGAAAGAAGTCCAAGATCATTTGCAAGACATGACACTGAAAAATATACAAACTCTTTCCTTCCCCTATAAAACCAACAGAGGCTTGTTTTTCCTTGGTCAACAAATTAGTCTTCCTAACTCACCTACACCCCTAGTTAACTTCACTTTATGTCTCTTTCACATAAACTGTAGAACTCTACCATGCCCACTCCAGCCAACATTTATGAATTATTCTCAAAATCCTGTAAAGTGGCTATTCTCTGGTATTTATTTTACTTTTATGGTACCCCTTCAGGGAGAATGAGGTTTTTTAAACGACTTTCTATAGAGGTAAATTGGGACTAATATGCAACATGTTTAAGCATCTCATGCAAAAGGTGGATAGCAGGAACCATCCAAGGATGAATTCCAAGGCAAAAAAAAAAAAAAAAAAATCAGAATAAACTGTCAATAAAATAAAAGGTAGTTAAAATTCTAAGATTCCAGTATTACTCATAACAATCATGACAGATAAACAAAAACAGTGACAAGAGAACACAGAGGAAGCCATTCAATTTCACTCATTTTAATTATCTTGTTTTTTCATCGTAACTGTTGTTCTATGTTTCGTGACTCCCTTATTTTCCAAGAGGAAATAAAAACAGGGTACAGTTTCACATTAAGGTTCCCTGCCGTTCCTTCCACACAACTGATTCAGTTGATTCAGCTGATTCAGCTGATTCAACTGATTCAAGTTAACTTGTTAACTTGTTAACAAGTTAACAGATATATTTTTAAAATTATTTCACTTGATATTTTCAATTCACAAAAAAAATTTTTTCTTTCCCACGAATTTTATTCTGTTTACTTAGAAATTCAGACCCCATACTCTCATTACCGTTTTGAGTGGCAAGAATATTTTCAGCAAACACAGATGACAAAATGAAATGCAGAAAAAAGAAGCACTTAGTAAAGCGTTTCATAATCTCTGACAAGTTTACTAGCCCGGAGTAAACCAAGTGTCCGTTTTTCCTTCACTGAACAAAAAGTCCAGGGTTCCCAATGATCTAGTATTCTAGTTCTAGTCTCAGATAACCAGGCAAAAAATGCAAACAGCCTCAAGTGCTGTGACCTGGCCAGCAGGTGGAAAATCTCCACACACGTCACTGCTTCAAATGTGCACGTGTCCCTCTTTTTTTCGGGGGCGAAACCACTTAATGTTTCATAATCTATGGAAATTCTCCATTTTTGTTAACAATTTCCATCACGATATGCAACGCACGATGCGACAACTAGACAAAGGGTGCCTTTGCAGCACTGGGTGGCAGGGCCAGCCTGGGCGCCAGCAGCTTCGCGCAGAGACTTTGCAACCGGCCGCGCCCCGCAGCTGCTGGCGGAGGCATCCCGGCTCGCGGCCGCGAAGCAGAGCTAAGGACCAAGCCCCGGCATTTGCCTGGCCCTGGAGCCCCTTCCCTGCCCCTCTATCTCCCCGAGTAAGACTGTCCAAAAGGCTCGGGCGCCCGCGGGACCCGCGGGGAGGGCTCACCCGGGGTCCTGCGCCGCATCGCTGCCCCTCCCCCGCCCTCGGTGCCGGGGACCCGGGCCAAAACCTGAGACGCATCTTCCCTCTGCTACTCCCGAACCTGAAATGTCATCGCCCACCCCCGACCCTTCCCGGGACCAGGGACCGACACCGCGGCCGGCCCTGTCCTCGCTCGCTGGAGTTGAAGGACAGCCCCTTATACCCTTAGGCCCCAGAGCCGGGGCCAGAGGGAACGAAGGGCGGCTGCCCGTTGCCATGGTGACCCCGCGCGCCCCCGAGTCCCTCGCCGCCCCGGCTGGGCCGGGCCCCAGTTCCGACCCGGAGGCCTCGGTACCACCACCGCCAGTACTCCTCGTCTGGCCGCGGCCTTCGTCCCCGGACGCAGGGCCCAGAGTCCGCTCTCAGCCCGCTCCCCTTACCCATGGCGGCGGCGGCGGCGGCGGCGCGATCTCGGGCGGGGACTGCCTGGGCCGCGCCAGCAGCTCCCTTCAGACGCGCGGCGGCCGCCAGGGCGTCAGCGCCCAGACCCGCAGCGGCCCACAGCGCTCCCGGCGGCCGGAGGGTGCCCGGGAGGTTCCGCAGCGAGCGGGGCGGGGGGCCGCGGAGCCTGCGCCCGTAGGGGCGAAACCCGCCTCCGCTAAACCCGTCCTGCCCACCCGGACAGGAAGAAGACCTGGGCTCCGCGGAGCCGGAGGGCGGGACCCCGGCCCGAAGGCGGGCCTCTCACCCTCCGGGCTTCGACGCCGCTCGCTCGGGAGGCCAGTTCCAGGGTGTGAGCCGAGTGCAAACGTTTTCGTCCACCTGGGTTTTCTCTACCGCGCCCTTTCATCTTCACGCACTAGTAGGAGATTAAAAGAATTTAGAAAATCTGAAGCATTTATCTGTTAATAACAGTTGGCAGGAATCTACTGAAACTGTTCTTACAGCCCGAATCATGACGTTCAAACCATTAAATATACTGGTGCGCAAAGAGCAATGAAAACAGCCTAACGGAGGGATCACTCAGTAAATTATGTGTCTAATCACTATGCCGTACGCCTGAAACTAATGTAATATTGAATATTGACTATAATCGAAAAAAATTAAGTGATAAAAAATGCGTTGGGGAACGATTTTACTAGTCAGAGAAACTAGTGTCAAGATAAAACTAATGTGGTTTGTTGTTTTGGTTTTTTTTTTCATTTCAGGAGGAAAGAAAACCTCATGGTCAGATGACACGGTTTAAGTTATATCAATTTGGAAAAAGCGAGCTATTCCCTAGTTAGATCAGCAGTTGCTAGAAACAGACCGAGGTATTTCTTGAAAATGGAGCGATGTTTTCTCGTCATTGCTTTGGCCATTAGCAAGTTTTGTTATGCAGCTTTACTGCTTTTGGTTTTTCATTTTATTTATTGTGAGGTAAGCACATATGGATAAAATGTACAAGACATATACAAGTTTAAAGAATCATTATAAAATAAAACAGATGTAACCACTACCAGAGTGAGCATAGACAGAGCCATCATCCCTGGGAAATGGCACCACTCACCACTCACTCCCCGTCCCCCTAGAAGGTAACGACTGTTCTGACTTATATGAGAACTCTTTCCTTGCCTTTTTTTTTCCCTGTTACTACCACTCAAGTGTGTTCCCTTAAACAATGTAGTGTATTTTTGCTTGTTTATAACTTTTCACATATGGAATAACACTACAGATTATCTTGTTTCATTTGTTTAACATAATCCACGTGCACGAGGAGTTTCCAGGTTGTACACACACCTTGGTGACCATAGCACCAGTCTCTGGAGCATATAATTAAGAATAGAATTACTGGGAATCGTGTATACCTTTCTTTAAATTTACTAGATGGTGCCAACCTGTTTTAAAAACTCTTCTCAAAATCAACACTCCTGTCAGTCTTTCTGTAACTCCACCTTCATTCTAATACTCAAATTGTGAGAATTTCTTTATTTTTGGAATATCTTGTGGGTAGCTGATTGTATGTTGGGTTTATTTTGTATTTATCATTACTGATGACATAGCACTTTACCAATGTTTACTATTTGGAGCTTCCCTTTTCTAGAAACTGTTCAGAGCTTTAGCCTATTTTCCTACTCTTATTGGATTGTGCAAGTTACTAAATATTTACATAAGGTTTGTGTCATTATGTGTTGCCAATAACTTCTAATATTTTCTCTATCTCTCTTTATCTTTGATTAACATAAATTCTTAATTTTCCTTGTAGTTGAATTTGACTTATAATTTAGAGTCTTGTTTAAGAAGTCCTCCCTACCTGGAGGTCATGAAGATACTCTTAAGAGCTGCATCGGTTTGCCCTTCACATTTAAGCCTGTTATCGCACCCAGAATTGATTTTAGTTAATGGCATAAGATAGGGTCAAATTTCTTTTTTTCCATATATTTATAGCCAACTATCCCATTATCCTTTCTCCATTGATCTTCCATGCCCCCTCTAGTTTCAATACCCATGTATGTTGGTAGAATAAATGGAGTCAGCCTGGCTTCCTTATCCAGATGTCTGGGCAACGAAGGGAAGCAGTTTCCCGTAACCTTGAGAATGGTCCTATAAGCAGTGTTCCTATAGCCTTGAGAATGGGTTTAATAAAATGTTCCCATAGCCCTGTGTGGGCCTGCATGCATAGAATGAAGCTGTTGTATAATATCCTGGTACCCTGCTGGCTTTATCTGTATTTAGTACATAAGGGGGTCAGGGATTTCCCACTGGGGGCAGGAGACTCGCAGAGACATGCAGTGACACACGGAGGGATATGCAGCTTGCAGCATGTGTGGACTGCCCACCCGTGAATGAAGGCGTGTCAGACACCTCAATGACTCTGTGATGACGAGTCTGCTCGAATCCCATGAACCTGTCCGGCCTTGAACAGTGGCAACACAATGTTCCTGGGCCAGAATCTAAGTTGATTTTCAAAACCATGCCAGTTAAAAATAATCATCTCCATTTTGCAGATGAAACCAATCTCAGAAAAGTTTAACGACTTACCTGCAGTCACAGAACTATTAAGGGACAGAACCAGAATTTGAACTAGTACAAAAGTAGCCTCCATTTTCATATTCTAAAAATGTATCTGAGGTTTTTACAGTGTTCCAAGGAGTCCAAAATTCATGACAAGTCTAATCCCTTTTACTATCTTACTGTTAAAGTTGAAATACAACTGACTTGTTCATTTGTCTCTTCCCTAAATCATGGTTTAAAGAGGACTCTGGGCCTCTAAGTGCATTTAGAAAAATGAGTAAAATTAAGTATATATTTAATTGTTTTATAGAGCAATAAGAACAAGGGAAATGACTTTTATTTCCTAGATTGCTTCCCCCCAGGGACTCTATAGATAACACGTACAAAGAAATTTAATTCAGCAAAAAAAGTTTACTTAAAGCAAAAGCTGTTCTTCCCTTTGAGGTCATAATCTTAAACATTTCCTGGATATTCTAGCCTCCTTGTGTTAAACAGAATTAGAATTTAGTGTGTGATGTTTAACTGCCCTTCATAGGGTTAAGTAGAGTATCAATCTGTTGAGTCCTTGATCTACTAAAGCAGAATCTAGGTTTTTAAAAAAGCTTTCAAATATTATGTAACAAAAATACTATTTTAAAAATCTCATCACACACCGCAGTATAGGGGTGGAACTAAATGTCTGGAATTTGCTTTACAACATCTCAGATTTTTAAAAAATCAAGGAGGCTGAAAACTGCAGCAAAATCTATTGAATATGGGTGATGAGTGAATACAGTTCATTGTACTACTCTATTTTTGAAGTTTAAAATTTTTAAAGCTTCTAAAATGTAAGCTAAAGTAAAAAAGAAAATCAATGTAAAAATCTTTTATACACCAAAGCAATACCCATAAAAGATGCAGACTTCACCCCCTGCATCCACCTTGATTCATACTTCCCAGGATTGAGTCTCAGTCACCCAAGGGTCATCAGTGACTTGAGTGGAATTGAATGGGTCTATCCTAATAACTAGAAGCAGTCTTTTCAATCAGCAAAGCTCTCCACTGAATGCAGGTAGACCAGCTTGTTACATCATGCCACAAGCTTCCAGTCATACACCCAGCTAGCCTAAATTGTGATTTGCTTACAATGACAACTGTAAGTTAGACTGCCACACACTTGGAAAATGTGTACTACACCAAAAGGGGAACACACAGTGACTAGGAAAATTGCTGAATTACTAATCAAAACACCTGAATTCTAGCAATGACCTGCACAGAACTATATGCTAATAGAGAATATCGGGGGACTTCCGCCAAGATGGAGGCATAGGTGGAGACACCGTGCTTTCTCACACAACCAAGTTTAGAGACAACTAAATACTAGCAACAGAAAACACAGCCAGAACACAGAAAATTGAACTTTTCGGAAGTCTGATAACAACAAATTCTTCAGCCTGACTGGTAAGAGGGGCGAAGCCAGCAGCTGGCGGAGAGGGGTTGCACAGGAAAACTCGGTCAGACGGACTCAGGCACGCAGAACCCAGGTGCAGGGTTGCAACGGGTGGACCTAGTGAACGACCCAGCAAGCGACCGCGGGGAACCAGTGAGGGAGCAGGGCCAAGATTTGACTGTGGTCGCGCACTCTTGCGCAGATAGACGGGACCCAGCAGGCCCCCACGGCGAGCGTCAGCAGAGGGCGCTGCCATTTCCCCCCCACCCTGCCTCCACATATCCACAAACAGCGTCCATAACCCAGCGACCTGAGTAGCCCCGCCCTGGTGAACCACCTAAGGCTCTGCTCCTCACCCAGCCAGGCGAAACGGCAGAGGGGGCTGCCATTTCCCCGCTCTGACCATGCCCCCACATACAGCATGACACCCAGTGACCTGGGAGTCCAAGGCTCCGCTCCTCATACTTAACGGGCACGAACAGACCAAAAATGGCTCAAGAAGATCTCAAAGCTCCAGAGCCTATAAATCTAAGTGATGAAGAAATAGCAAAACTCTCAGACGCACAGTTTAAAACACTGGTGATCAGGATGCTCACAGATCTGGTTGATTATAGCCACAAATTAGAGAAGCATATGAAGGCGAAACTAATTGAAATGAATGGAATTGCACAAGAAACCAAAAGTGATGAAAAGGAAACTGGGACTCAAATCAATGGAGTGGACCAGAAGAAAGCAAATAATGGCCAAACAGAAAAGAGTGAAGAAGCAAGAATTCAAAAAAATGAGGAGAGTCTTAGGAACCTCCAGGACATCTTTAAATGCTCCAATATCCGAATTATAGGGGTACCAGAAGGGGGAAAGGAACAGCCACCAGTGGAAAACTTATTTGAACAAATAATAAAGGAGAATTTCCCCAATCTGGCAAAGGAAATAGACTTCCAGGAAATCCAGGAAGCTCAGGGAGTCCCAAAGAAGTTGGACCCAAGGAGGAACACACGAAGGCACATCATCATTACATTCGCCAAGATAAAAATGAAGGAGAGGATCCTAGAAGCAGCAAGAGATAAGGGGACAGTCACCTACAAAGGAGTTCCCATCAGACTGTCAGCTGATTTCTCAAAAGAGACCTTACAGGCAAGAAGGGGCTGGAAAGAGGTATTCCAAGTCATGAAATCCAAAGACCTACAACCAAGATTGCTCTATGCAGCAAAACTTTCATTTAGAATGGAAGGACAGATAAAGTGCTTCTCAGATAAGATCA